CGGAATCACGTAAAATCCGCCGGAATCTTGTGAAATCCGCCGAAATCCGGTAAAATCCGCTGAAATCATCTGTAATCCTTCAAATCAGACATAATCTGCCGGCAGGTTTTAGCGTGAAATCTTCTAAAAAAATAATATGCGAAATCCGTGAAATCATGTGAAATCACGCAATCTTTGCAATCATGTGTACATCCAAAGAGAGAGTGGTGGCCCCCTCGGGCGCGGATCCAGCGAAAGGTTATAGGGGGGACATTTTTCTGAATGTGTCATGTTGGTTGCCTAACTCACAGGGGAAAGTACATAAACATTTGCCAAATTTGAAAGAACAAACCCCCATTTTCCATAATGGTGAAGGATACTTGTAAAATCGCTACTGATGGTCCAAAGTCAGTTAAAAGAAGCTGTCGCAAGCGAGGCGAGCGAAAAAAATTTAGAAACTGTTTTAAAATTGGGACCACGAGCTAAGTGAAAAGGGAAATCCTAGAAGTCATTGCGAGCGAAGCGAGCGAAAACATTTCTGAAAAATACGAATTAAAATTGTGACCAAATCTAAGTAAAGTTTGACAAAAAGTCAACATTATCGCAAGCAAAACAAGCTCAGAAAAAATCTGAAGAGTACCTACTATCTTGTGACCTACGGAGGAAAAAAACAGAATCTGCCTATTCAAAAGCTTTCAAAAATAAAAAAAATATTTACGCTATCTAGTAGTGTACAAAACGAAATTTTTCAACTCAGAATCAGAGCAAAAAATACTTCAGTTGTTTAAATGTTTCCTTGCTGCCTGAAAATTCCAAAAAAAGACCTATATTTTTTAAAAACTTTTTCTTTCCTCCTTATTTTTTCTCTTCTTTTCCTTTACTCCCCTCGACTCCCCTTCTTCCTCCTCTCTCTTCTCTTCTCCTCCTTTCTTCCTCTCTCTCCTCTCCCTTTCTTCTCTATTTTCTCTATGCTTCCGAAGGCTTTGGTGGGGGTCAATTGCCCCCATTGCCCCCCCCCCCTGGATCCGCGCCTGCTTATAAAACTCTGATAGATAGATAAAGAAAATCTAGTGAGATCAGAAAACTACGAGGAAGACCAAAGAAACTATACAAATATGTGTTGTTAGCAGATCGAAGTAATTGTACCGTGTGTCAATACCACGACACAGCGGTATGCGGGTTTCCCTACTTGCTCCCAGGCGCACTAAAGCGTACATGGCCACTTCTGTAAAAGAGCGGATGTGCCATGAAAACACAATATAAAGTATACAAAGTACACATTTGAATTGGCAAAGTAGAGCAGTGTAACTTAATTTCTTTATTTTGTATTTTCTTTTCGAAGAGGCTATGGATATAGACGAGAAAGTGACCAAAGCTGCAAATTTTTCGAGAGGTATGTCCCCAACTCATAAAATAGGTGCACAGCGAGGTAAGATGAGTTCAAAGAGAGTTCCGCGCAAGTTGGGATTTACTTTTGGATGGTTTAAAGGCAATATTTCGCGAAATTGGCGTGAGAAACTTGTGCGAGTTATAGCGAGTTTGCGCGAGTGCAACGCTAGTTGGGTGCGTCGGCGAGTGTACAACGAATTGGGGACCCTCGAATTTTCGCCTCTTTGTTGTCGCCTTCATCGTCTGCTGTGCGTTGAGAAAGTGTACACCTTACCAACGAGCCAGAGACGAGATATAGACGAACTCCTCTCGGCAGTCAGAAGTAGTGCTGGGCCGCGCGGTTAACCCAGGAACATCCGATTAGAAGTTCATAACCGGTGATAATTTGGCCACTGCAGCAGACACCTGGAGGAGACGACGCGAGGGATGAGTCCCACTCGGTCGGGCGGTGCGGCGCTTCGGCGAATCGATGAACCGCACGTCAATAACAAATGTGTGTCGAGTTGAGCTTGTCGTGGTACTACGATTAATTGAAATACCCTGTTGTGTCGAAGTTGAATGTGATAACTAAACCAAAACATTTTCCGTAAAAAACAATTACATTGTAATTTTAGGAGTGTATTTATTAGCTACGTGTAAGCCAGACCACGTCTCGCGTATCAGGCTTCGCGATATCTCACGAAACACTGTTGCGCTGCGACGCGCCTGGCTCACATAGAGCTAGGCCTGCGGCGCTGACACCCGAGTTAATATGAGTGTATACGGAAATAGGGCCTGCCGGCTCCCAAATTTGTCAGCATTTGTCGGGGCCTTTTTCGACAACATTAGGGAAATGAAACTTCTGATATTCTATAAAGATATTCATTAAATGTTCTATATTTTCAAATAAAGTGTAACGCAGGGCGTAGGAAAGGCTTCGGCATTAAAAGTTGTGGTTGAAATAGTATTTTCCCAGAGTGCTCAATAGGGTATTTCAATGAAGCGCTGCCCGGAACTAAGAAGAATAAAAGCGGATGCAGAGAGCGGCGGGTGGGCGGGGAGGCTCCCCTCCACAGAGTGGCAAACACTACTTTGATAAACATTATGAACTGGGAATAAATTGAAAATGAGTGGTGGTCATTGTCAATTGCTATTGTTTTCAAGTGAAGTGGTCATACCATAAATGATGCATATTTTAAGAGAAGTTATAGTTAGGGTATGAGGTGCTCAGTGATGGACAATGTACCAGTGATGGCCACTTTTCTCGACACAGCCAAACTCGTCGCTTCACGATCTTGGCAAGGAACTAGTGTTCTCGTAAGAGTCCTGCCGTGGTGTAATAAGCGCTCTCCGTTGTTTACCGGGTGTCCGGGGGAATACGCGGCAGCCCGAAGGGTTGCCTACGCACTGGCTTGCAGGCGCCGAGGGTGAGAGTGGGAGCGGTGAAGGTAGCGGAAGGTGGCTGGTCTCCTCCTGCGTCCTCCACCGCTCCCCCTCTCGCCCTCGGCGCCTGCAAGCCAGTGCGTAGGCAACCCTTCGAGCTGCCGCGTATTCTACTAGACACCCAGTACATTCCAAGAAAAAGGGGTGTCCATCATTGGGCATCTTTCCCGACTGATTGAGATTTCTTTTTCTTCTGGCATAACGCCCATTCTTTGCCTGAAATATTTTGAATGTTTTTAGTATTATAATATTGTGGAGATGAAGCTGCCATGAGAAATAAATTCAGGTAAAACTTCGGAGACGTTAACCGCGATAACGTTACAATTTTTGTAGTTAATACTCATCAAAAAGAGTTTGTTGATATAGAATCAAAAATCTAGGTCTCCGTGTTTTGAGAACAATTTTTGAAACTTTTGGCAATACCCACTTTGACCACATCGTTTTTCAATTTTTTACTATATTTTTACACTGAAAATAATGTGCTATTTTTATTTTACACTAGCCCAACCTCCTACCTTGGCAAACTGTAGGATTTTCCATTTTAATAGATTGCATTATTTTTCAAAATTTCTGAAAATCGCTCAAACTTTAAAGCCCCAACTTGTGAACCGTTTGAGCTATACATGCCTGCGCTTGAGCTAGTTTTGAAGCCCAACACGAACAATTTGCACACAACCCACAAGCAATCGCGTGGATGTATCTGACTTGTTGGAATCCTGATACGACAATGTGAATGTTTACATCAGATTCTGGAGGTGTCATATCATAAATTTGATGTGAATCGTCAAATTATTTTTAACAGCGGATATTTTGTCTGGTTAACGGCTCGATGTGTTGTATTCTGATGCCGATTTTCTTGAAACACTCATCTTTTTTAGAATTTAAACTCGTAGCCAGCAATTGGTTGTTGTTTTATATTTTCTTACATAAACAATAAATATAAATATATTAGGCAGACGTACAGTATTACTTCAAAACACAAAAACGTTACACCAGTATCATAGTGCAATTTGAACAGTACAAAACAATTACTACGAATAGGTTTAACTATGACATGATTACGCTCTTATGATGATAGGCAGCTGGTACTGCTGTGGTCGCTCTTTCGGTAGGAAACTCTGAATGCGGTCGGCACTTGCACCAAGAGGTGTAGGAAGCTTAATGATGTTCTTGTCGAAGATAGAAGCGTTGTGTGATGCCAGCACAACAGTGTCCTGCCATGACAGAGTTAAAAATAAGACCCTCGGTTACCCTTTGGCGGCACTTTTCAGACGAATGTTTCAGTCTTTTTAAGCACGGTAGCACGGTAGAATAAGTTACTTGAATTTCAAGACCCGGTCTTTGATATCCTAGGGTGGACGCTGTTAACATGCCAGACCGGGTCTCGAAATTCAAGTAACCTTTTTGTTACCGTGGAGTTGATACTGAACCAGCGTGTATCATGGTAGAAGAGAAGAGCAGTGGGATCGGGTTTGAGATGCAGCGCGCGTACCTTAAAGCGGATGGTGACGTCCTGTACGAACATGTTGGGCGTAAGGAAGGAGCGCAGCGAGCGCACGTGCGACGCTGGCTGGCGGTCGAACGGGAAGCCCATGGGTCTCTTGTCGGGATATTTGCCGTTCATGACACCGCATATACTGTGGGCCTTATTGCACGAGCCATGAAGCTCCTGCTCCTCCTGCAGGCAAAACAAAGGCTAAGGTTAGAACTGAGCACTCTTACTTCAACAGAGTTTTTCCGTGACACTTTCAATTTTATATAGGTCCCTACGCACAAGCCCTCAGTCGTCATCCGTGTACGATTTCGAGCTTTGCTACAGCAATGCAACATAAAAATATGATTAAGAATCACGCATTATTTCTTAATACACAACTATTAGGAAATAATACGGTCATCGAATCTTAGAATGTCTCGGTGAACCATTGAAACCATTTTCTGAGTGAACTAGGTTTCGTGACACCGTCTCTTATTCGCGGTTGCTTACAAGGGGACTTACACTGTAAAATCTGGGTGTCACTCTGTGACTCTCAGAGTGTGACTCTGTGAGTCACCGCCTGAGTCGCTTGCACTTAAAAATTACGCACCTATTGTCGTTTAGTGGGAGGACGCCTTACGCGTTCTGTCAGAGCACCCCTTAGGCGTTCTCTCATAGCATATGGGCAAAATGCATGGCATTGATCTCATAGACTTGAACGAGCTGTTTTCCCACTGACCCTTTTCGATTCACGGGGTGTGCTGGGCCGGCACACCCCTTGGCTGTGGCAGTGTGGCTGTGGCAGGCCCAAGCTATGTAGCAGCAGCACACTCCGGCCAGTTGCTTAGGCGCAGGTCATGCAAGTGTGCAAGTCTATGTGACCAACGCCATGCATTTTGCCCAAGATGTGCTATGAGAGAACGCCTAAGGCGTGCTCTAGCAAAACGCGTAAGGGCGTCCTACCATCAAACGGCACAAGGCGTGTAAGTTTTGGGTGCAAGCGCAAGCGACTAAGGCGGTCTCCCCCACCAAACGATTGAGGCGCGCTCTCACGGAACGCCCAATTTTACAGTATAGGCAAGTGTAAATTCCCGATCTTGCCCGAACTCGATGTATTGGACTCTTAAATATGTTGATGAAAGCTGACGGTGGAATTTTTTTCTGAGTATCAATCTCTAGGGTTCTTGAGGGGAGCAAATAATGGAGAAAATATTGAATTTGGGCCAAAAATGATGGAAGGAGACCTCAAATCGAATAGTTGTGTAGAAATTACCCCCAGAAACTTCTCATTTCGAGTGAGAAGATCACTTAATATTCGTACAATCGTAGAAATTTGAATTTTTCGAAATTATACGCTTTTATAAAGTTTTAGCTCATGACATTTAGGAAAAAGTTGGTCCGCATTCACCTACACAGATAAAAAGCAGATACACGCAAAAAAAAAATAGCACCCTAGCTATTTTTTTTAGCACTGGTGCTAAAAATTCGTCAGCATAGGCCCAGCTACATTTTTTAGCTCCAGTGCCTAACTTTTAGCTGTACAGCTAACTGAAGCAATGGTCTAGCTGTATCACCACTACTATTTAGCAGTACAGCTAAATATTTTATCCTGTAGCTACTTTCTTGGCAGGGGTGCCAAATTTGCCTGCTAGATCGATTAGCACGGACCCGATTTTTATTTTTTCCGTGTATTCCGAGTTTGGGCACGATCGAGATTTTACACTAGTTAGTGCCCCCCCCTCCCTCACCACCTTGCTGTTCCCCCGTTCGCCAGCAGCTGCCACGCAACACAGTGGGAGATTTGGCCTCAAAATCGCGACAAAGTCAAATCTTTCCATGATTGGCGTATAATTTGGAATTACTTAGTTTTCTGAGGTAATGTCATCAAAAACCTGCCAATTCAGTGAAAAGTGCGAAATTAGTCTACCCTCTGCACCCCCACCAGGGATAGGAAAGTTACTTTTAAAAATGTAACTAGTTACAGTTGCAGTTAGTTTTGCTAAAAATGTAACTAGTTTCAGTTACAGTTACTTTTTCTTAAAGATTGCCGTTACAGTTACAGTTACATTTTTTTCGCCAAAAATTGTAACTAGTTACAGTTACAGTTA